AAATAAAAATAAAATAATTAAAATAAAATCCTGTACTCACCAAATTTTTTACAGAAGAGCTGATCTACCATCTTTCTCAGTTTGGTGATTCTCGCATACCACTCTTCTTTCACTGTATTTGAGAGTGGCACAGAACAAAAACACCATTCCCTAATTATTTTGGATATTATATTTTCCGTCGCTCATTTTATAGAACGCATTCAGGTAACCCAGAAAATACTATGCAGAAGTAGTATGGATTCAGGTTGGAATTAGGAAAATGAATTATTTCTAAAATGACAGAATATTAAAACTGTACAAAAGTCCACTGAACCAGTGAATTGCTCTTGCTACAAGATACACACAGTGTATTGCATGAAGAACAGCAAAGCTTTCATCATTCACCTCCAATCTGTAGATTCTGTTTGGAGATGTGACTAGTTTTTTGGGCGGTTCCATTTTCTAAAAAATTATCTTGACATTCAGTGCAGAATTCAGTATGCATATAGGACAAAAACTTGCTTTCAAGGAATTTTCACTAAGCACTGACAACCTCAAAGCAAGCTTTTACAATGGGTGCACATAGCAGTTAGCTCCTTGCTATATATTTTTTATATATATATAACTTCCAGCATCCCTTTCTCCCACTGTTAGCAGACAATGCTTTTAAAATGGTGATTAATAACCACATCAAACGATTCTAGAGATTTTATCATTCTTCCTGAGATGACAAGCAACTTAGTTCCAGCTCTCCAAAATGTTTACTTGATGCTACCCAAATCATGAGTTAAGTCATAATTTAGACACCGAACCCAACATGTGGCAGCTATGTAGATTAGCATATCCTGGTCAATAAACCAAGACTAAATACAGTTTTTTCACCATTTTATCACTTGAGCATCTTTGCTTATCGGCTCAAACACACACAACTTCGGAGTTCATGAGACAAGGCTTTGCACCTGAAGACAGCCACGTGTTTGAGTTCTGCTCCCCCGGCAGAACAACAGAGCACAACGATGACGTTAGTG